CCTTCCACTCTTTTCCTTTTCCTCCTCTCCTTTCCTTTCTCTTTTTTATCTTTTCCTCCCTATTCGTAGCTTCCGGACATTCTACTTTTTCCTTCTTCTCCTCTTTTTCCTCCATATTTCCCTCTCCGTTGTATTTCCATTTCTGCTTTTCCACCCATTTCTCCACCTTTTCTTTATGCTTCTTCTCGGCCTTTCCTCTCTCCCCTCCTGCAATATTTCAATTTTTTTCCCTTCCTCCTCTCCTTTCCCTTTCGCTTTTTCTTTATTTCTCGTTTTTTTTCAAGTTTCTCCTCCCTTTTCCTTCTTCTTCATTTATTTTTTCATTTCACCTTCTGCAGCGTTTTCATTCTTCCTTTCCCATTTCCTATCTTCTTTTCCTACTACTTTTTCCCCTTCTTCCTCTCCTCCCTCTTCCACTGTATTTTCATTCCTCCTTTTCCATTTCCCATCTTTATCTTTTCCTTCTCCTTTTTCTTCTTCTCATTCCTTTCCTCCTCTCCTCCTCCTCCTTCTTCCGCAGCTTCCGGACATTCCTCTCTCTTCCTCCTCAAAGCCAGACGCGTCTCCCCAAGGCCTCCTTCCTCCGTCGACTTTCACCTCCGACTAATCGTTTCTCTCTCGCCTTTTCTCCGCTTTTATCCGGGTTCTCCCACTCCCTTGATATCCTAGAGAATCTCAAGACCCATTTTCTTACTATTAACTTTCGTTTCGTTTCGTTTGCTATTCTTTACTTTCACTTTGTACTTTCTTTTCGTTTTGTTGATTCGTGTCTTGCCGTGTCCTCTTTTCCCCCCTCGCCTCGTTTGATGCTTCCTGTTCTGTGGTTTCCATATATAATCGTTTTTTTTTTATTATTCATCTCTTCTCCCATCTTCATTTGTTTTCTCCTGCTGTCCTTCAGGCCTTTCCTCTTACATCCTTCCTCTTGTCGCATCTCTCTCTCTCTCTCCCTGTTTCTGATTCGGTCTCTGTCTGTCTGTCTGTCTGTCTCTCTCTCCCTCAATAAACTTGTCAAAATGAAGTAAAAGGGCTCTTACTCCCTCTCCCTTCTCTTCTCTTCGTCCCTTCTTCCTCTCTCCACCATTTCTCTCCTCCTCTTCCTCCCCTCCCTCCACCACCCCCATCCTTTCCTCTCTTCCTCTTTCCTTCCTCCCTTCCTCCCTCCTCCCTCCCCCACTCCTCCTCCCCCGTCGCGTCCCGTCCTACCCACCTCATCCGCGACGACCTCGTTCGTGACGGTGTCTTCCTTGCAGTCCGTGGTCACGATCGGGCCCGAGTCCTCCACGACCTCGCCATCCTCGAGGACGACCTTCCGCTGCGTCCTCGTCTCGATGTTCTTGACTTTGGTCGTCGTCACCTTCTTCCTGGTGAGCCACTCCTCTGCGGATGCCAAGGCGCGGGTTAATCCTCGTGAAAATTGGTGAAACTGGTATTCCTTTTAATATGTTTATTTATTGATTGATTGATATATTGATGAGAATTATGTAAAATAAATAAAAGACTTTCTTAATTGCTGCTGGTTATATCATACTGTATATTACATTTCAGTCCATCTACAGTTGTATACGAATTTGAGGAAATAATCTACGGTTTCAGCTCACCTTCCTTCACAGTTTCATAAATCTCTCCATCCTCTCCCTGCAAAACATAACAAGGAATTAGCAAATCATAAAAACACAGAAGAAATAAATACCGGTTGCTATAGTCAAAAAGTAATAATAAACATTAAAACAAAAAAACTAAATCGAAGCCACAACTTACATCAAGAATTATATTTTACTTACTACAAAAAACAATATTTTTTTATCTGATTCGAACACTCATGCCACCTGCTAATCTAATACAAACGAGCCAAAAATAGAAGAAACAAAGGCCATATTTCCACATTAGAAAACCAAACACCAAACTACAAGACCAAAAAGAGATCCAATTTATAATACATCGAATCACGGAATCAAGAACTTCAGTACTCTATTTTATGGTATTTTATTTTATGGTAAAGTGATATTCATGCAATGGACTGACAGGATACCGGCGTCCTTAGGCTGTCCTTGGTTGAGAAATCTTTTCCTTGAACTTGAACTGTCTCTATTTCTTGATCCGTTTCTTGTTTTTGTCATGCCTATGTTGTATAATATATTATTTTGTTTTTGAATTCGATTTTTCCCATTGCTTTGGATCACCTCTCATTTTAAGACATTTATACGTTTCTTTCTATCATCATCAGTCAAAACTCATATAACATCGGGAACATAAAACATTCTAAACTAAAACAAAGCAAACGGAAAAAAGGGTCATTTTACATCACAACTACCTAATCTCATTACCACATATATACAAGACCCGCACAACGAACTACCCTGAGACACCTACCGTGGAGAGCTGCAACTTGGACGCCGGCGGACCCGACTCGTAGTACTGTGCCGACACAATGCCGTAGTTCTCGTAGTTCGGGGAGGCGCCGTTCGACCCTCCGCCGCTCGAGACGCTGGCCGGCATC